GGAGTGATAATTGGTAAAGACGCTCATTGGCAGATGTGTGTTTGTGGGGCTGTGCGGAGAGGAGAGAACGTTAGAGGAGCTTGTGTGAGCGGGAACTCGGAGCAGGTGAAATTTTGGACAAATAATCAGATATCAAACTGGGTTCTCTTTCTAGAGCGCCCAAAATGATTCTCTATCAGGGTAGCTGACAAACACCATTTTATATTCAACATCGAGACTTTGATTTGAATGTACAAGTGGATATGTTAGGTACTTTTTTTAATCACCTTCAAATAAATATAATTATCTTCACTAGTTCCTATACATGGTTCTGCAGTGTGACATACATTTTATAAAGCACAAAAGCATGTCTCTTAAGGGCGTAAAAACAGCATGAATAAGAATGAGCAAAATTATCATTTAGATGGAGTATAGCATGCCACTCCGCAGGACTTGTAATTTTCCTTAAAAAAATTTTCTTGTTAAAATACCCATTAATGCTTTCTGAAATTCATTTCGACAGGTTATGCATTATTTTATGCTTTTTCTATTCAGTCTTCCCAAAATTAAATGAACAATGAAATTCTATGACTTTTCCTATGAGTAATTTGTGAACAATGGATGAAGACTTAAAAAAAAACAACTATTTTGATTCAGACTAATTTGGTAATGAACCATTCAGACTGATCTGTGAACCAGTCTGATTGATTCACTGAAAATAATCAAAATGATTCATTATTTCTCAGGGAAAAAAAAAAAGTTTTCCCATGTACACCCCCAAATGCATCAGCTTACAAAGCACTGACAGTTATGCAGTAACGAGAAATTGCGATACTAAGAAATTATAATACATGTTGCAGTCTATATGAAAAATAATAACATTAATTCTATATTTAATACTGGAGACATACCAGAGTCTGGTTCAAATATCTTCTTAGGCGCAATCATTAAATTAAAGTTAGTTATAAAATAAAGTTTTAACAAACGTATATTGAATGTTTCTGGTGCTAATAGTACAAAAATTCTATCCTTATTTCAAATTAATTAATTTTATATTAGAAATGACAAGAACATCATTCCTACATTATTTACAAATTCAAATCATACAATCAAAAAATAAAAATATATATATTTTTGTTCCTTGACCTTAAAGAGGTCTAAAGTCTTTGCCCTTTAAACTGTACATTAATGAGACAATATGAAATCAGGCAGAAATATTAATAAATAAACAAATAAAAAACAGATTACTCCATCCCAAAGTGGCTTTTACCACGCTAACATCAACCATCTTACACAGCAGTAAAGCGATGCCCAGAATGCATTTACAAAATAAAAATAGGATTGACACACATATGTATTATTGATGTTCTCTATAAAGCCGAGGCTATTACGCACAATCATTGGCCAACACTCCGAGCCTTTCATATATCACTGGCCCTAATCTCTAGGCAGAAAATATGCGAATACCACGTGGAAAATAAATAAATAACTTGCAGGAGTGAAACATTGTGTGCCGAAAACCCCTGTGTTGCTTGGCATTGGCTCGAATGGTAAAAATAAATCAAGCTGATTTTCCAAATGTTTCATGCGTGCCACGCTGTTGCAGCTCTTCGCAGCACAGATTGTGCGCCTGATCAAGAATATCGGAGGTGGGGCCCCGGCTATTTGCATGTACGCCGGAGCCATTTGCACCAGCTTATTAACGCGTACACCTTAACCCACGGGCGGTGGGGTGAAGTGCCCTACAGAGCAGAGACACCCGGGGCACTGAAGACGCGGGAGGGACCAGACCTCACAGTCTCTTACTCAGAGCCGAGAGCTGAAGTTTGGCTCTGGCACCTTCTGTCTTACATACCAACAGTAGGAGAAATGTGTGTGTCAGCGTCGCAATAAACAAAGCACGTAGACAGCGAGAGAGAGGAACGGTGCGATGCGGTAAACTCTCACAAATAGATTTTTCTCTATTTTGGCCAGCACATGAAATTTGCCCTCATGCACATTGAAACGTTCGCTTTCTATTGATGATTAGCTAGTACATACTAAATCCATCATGAATAACACAACGAAAAATCATCTCCAGCGTGTACATAAGTCAAATAAAATAAGCTGTGATTATGTATCTTCTATGGTAAATGGAACTATAAATATTTCACACATATAGATTCTCTAATCGCTCCATCTCACCTCTGAGCTCGGTCTGTGAGCTCTTGTGAGAAATGTTGCGTAATTGCAAAGGTGACAAACCATTTTAACAGCTCCAGCTATGTGAGGAAAGCTCACTTACATGCCCACACTGCACAACTATCTAAAAACAACATTCTTTTCATTACGGGGCGGCAATGGAAACATAACTTTTCTTTGTATCTGCTTCTGGTTCGAGGAGGTGGATATTCGCTAATATGTAAAGTTGTGGAGGAAACAGAAGGATGTTGTGCGCCCAGCAGAAGCTCAGTTCAGGCTGGAGGTACTGTGGATACACCCACACTCACTCACTCGCCCACATGCTGGCTCGGGCTGTGTGCCAGACGCCCCTCAACCCTACACTCAGTGGCCACATGTGCCCCTGCCTGAAACACTGACACACACACACACACACACACACACACACACACACACTGAAAATGTCCTCATAAATCACCTTCTCGTTGTAATACCTATGTCATACCCATGTTATTATACAAATTTGTGTCCTCATAAACCACACACACACACACACACACACACACACACACACACACACAAGTGGTCTGAAGTGGTATGAGCGCAATGCTCACATCTATCAGATTTTTAAAAAGAAACAGAATCTGATTCCAAGTAATATTATAGACATATTGAGAGGTTAGAAAGATGCAGGATGTAAATCTAATCAGTGGCTTCTTGAATTGATAACCAGTCTGACCAAATGTAATTCCTGAAGAACAAAGTACACTACCGTTCAAAAGTTGAAGGTCTGTAAGTTGTTTTTTTTGGTTGAAAGAAAGTAATACCTTTTTTTCAAGGATACAATACATGAATCAAAAGTGACAGTAAAAACAATGTTGCAAAATGTTATTTCAATTGTTTTTTTAACCTTCTATTCATCAAATAATCCTGAAAATAATTTATGATAATAATGGGAAATGTTTCTTGAGCAGCAAATCATCATATTAGAATGATTTCTGGTGGATCATGTCATGTGACACTGAAGACTGGAGTAATGATGCTGAAAATTAAGCTTTACCATCACAAAAAAAATAAATAAAA